TACTGTACCAAGCTAGTTAGAGCCAAATAGAAAAACCTTGTTCAAAGACAATCCAAAACACTGACAAAATAGTAATAATTTTTATAGTTAAGAGATATATATTTTGTATCTTTTAAGTCTAAAGCAATAATTTATACTTTTAATTATTGTCTCACAAGGGTACCTTTTCTCTGAATTTTTACAGTATTGTTTTTTACTTGTTATTTAATATCATGACATAGTCTTAACAATTTCATGTCAATGTCTTGGTGTGTGAGGATAGCATATGGTTATACATGTGTGTACTAGTGTACTCACCTTCAAGGGGTGTGTAGAGGTCCTTCCTTAATCACTCCCCAACATGTTTTCTTTCTGTTGATGCTATTGTTCTTGCTTTCTTGTGGATTTATTTACTTTATGGTTTGAGATGGGGTCTTGCTGTGTGCTTGCTATGTAGGCCAGACTGAACTAAAAACTACAGAGATCTGCCTGCCTCTACCTCCTGAGTGCTGGGACTAAAGGTGTGTGCCATCACACTTTACCCTCTTGGTTCTTTGGAACAGTGTCTTTCAATGAACCTGAAGTTCACTATTTCAGCTAGATAGGCTGGTCAGGGAATCCTTAGGGTCTGTCTGTATCTGTCCCTCCTCTGCTGGAATATAGGCATGTGCACTTGGCTTATATGTGGGAGCTTGGGATCCAAACCCAGTCTTCACGTTTTCAAAGCATGCAGTATCTACTAAGCCATCTCCCCAGCCCTTATCAATACCGTATTTCCCAAAGAAAGACTTGTTCTATATTTATTTCCCCTATATCTCAATAGCATTACCAAAAAATGACATACTAAGTACATATTACTAATACATATGTTTCAGTACCCTTTGGAAAATACAAAAGTGGGGCTGGAGAGATGACTCGGCTGTTAAGAGCACTGGCTGCTCTTGCAGAGGACCCATATTCAGTTCCCAGCACCCACACAATGGCTCACAACTGTCTGTAATTCCAGTGCTGTGGATTCAATACTTTCTTCTGACCTCTGCAAGCACCAGACACACACCCAGTGTACATGCACACATGTAAGCAAAACTCTCATTCGCACACAATAAAAATAATTTAGTCTTAAAAAATTAAAACATAACATCAAAAGGATAATATAAAAATTATAATCAATATTCTAAAATAAAAGTTAGTACACTATTAACAATAAAAAGGAACTAAAAGGAATATCTGAAAATTAAATATATTAAAAAACAAAATGGTAAAGACTATAAAGACAGGGAAAAAGTCAGAATTACTCAAGATATAATCAATTTCCCATAACTGAAGGACATGAATTTGTATACTGATTGTGGTTACTGAGTACCCAGTGCAATGAATAAAGAAAGGTACACACAAAGAAATACTAACTAGTACAATACTAGAACATCAAAAATAAGAAGAAACTTAGGAGGATCATGAGTTCAAGGTTAGCCTGGGCTACATAGACAACCTCTCTCTCTGTCTCTCTCTCTGTCTCTCTCTCTCTCTCTCTCTGTTTTGTTTTGTTTTGTTTTTCAAGACAGAATTTCTCTGTATTGCTTTGGAGTCTGTCCTGGAACTAGCTCTGTAGACCAGGCTGGCCTTGAACTCACAGATCCTCTTGCATCTGCCTCCTGAGTGCTGGGATTAAAGGCGTGTGCCATAAATGCCAGGCCCCTTTTCTCAAAAGGAGGGGAAAAAAAGGGAGGAAGGAAGAAATGAAGGAAAAAGAGGAAAAGGAGAAAAAGGAAGATAAACTTCAGAGATAACAGGTTATACAAAAGTTCCTGGAGTTGCCAGGTGTTTGATAATGCACACCTTTAATCCCAGCACTCAAGAGGCAGAGGCAGGTGGCTCTCTGTGAGTTTGAGGCCATACTGGTCTACAGAGCTAGTTCCAGGGCAGGCTCCAAAGCAATACAGAGAAATTCTGTCTTGAAAAACAAAACAAAACAGAGAGAGAGAGAGAGAGAGAGAGAGAGAGAGAGAGAGAGAGAGAGAGAGAGAGAGAGAGAGAGAGAGCCTGTCTCAGAAAACAAAACAAAACCAAAACCAAACAAACAAAAAAGTTTCTGGAGTCATAATAGCAGACAGAAAATAGTCACTAAGTTCAAAATGAAGAAAACATATCCCCAACCTTGACCTTTATACAAGTATAAATAGTATATGCCAGTATATACAGTAGAAACACAAAATAAAGCTCTACCTTTTTTCCAGACTGATTGTAGTGAAACTGAACTTGGGTTCTCTGCAAGAAGAGTAAGTGCTGTAATAGCCCAGCCACCTGTCCAGCCTCAATTTGAAACACATACCAATAAAAACAACCAAAGTATATGTTTATCCACATAGGATTTTCAAAACTACTGAGAAGCCATTCTTTGAGAAGTATTGATGGGAGATGTCATTCTGTAAATATGTTTCTCTTATTGGTTAATGAATAAAGCACTGTTGGCCAATAGGAAAGCAAGGTAGGCGAGACTACTGCAATATGGGTAGACAGTTTAAAGTTTGCTGTTTTGCTGAGAAGTCTGCCAGATACACTATGTCCTATAGGCTAAAGATAGAACATTACAGAAGAACTTCCGGTGACTGACCAGGCAAGTTGTCTCTATCATTTCTAGAGTTTATATATTATTCTTCTGTGGTCTTTGATGGAGTTGAAGACAGATAGTTATGGTTATAGTTTTCCTTAGTTAGGATTAAAGTTAAGTTACAGTTATAGGACTTTAGACTCACAAAGATAGGATAGATGATAAAATACTTTCTTTAAATCTTGCTAAATGTTAATGGATTAAATATTGTTAACTGTAGTTCTTATTTGATAACTATTTTGTTATATATATTTGCTATGTTAAGGTTAAAACCCTTCTTTTTATTTTAGACAGAAAAGAGGAGATAATGGGAGATGTCATTCTGTAAATGTGTTTCTCTTATTGGTTAATGAATAGAGCACTGTTGGCCAATAGGAAAGCAAGATAGGTGAGACTAGGAGACTAGGAGAGAGTGAAAGGAGTAGGGAGGAGTTTCAAGATGTAGGACCAACAGGGTAGTACGCCCGGCCCTCCCTCCTCGGTAAGATAAGACCATGGGGAAACACTTAGATTAATAAAAATGGGTTAATATTTAAGGCAGAGCTAGCCAATAAAAAAATACTAGTAACAGGCCAACAGCTTTGTATCTAATACAGTGTCTCTGTGTTATATGGGGCTGGCACAGCTCTGGGACCAGACCGGCAGGAAAAACCTGCTCCTAACAAAGTATGTTTCATTATTTTTTGGCTCTACTGTGTGCTACACTGGCCTACAAATAATTCATTTATTCACCCAGTTTAATCATACAGAACAACTTTGCAAGCCTCCTTTTAGAATTCTCTGAAATCAGTGATATTTTCAGGTGTACTTTGTGGATTTCAATACTGTAACGTGATCAAATCCAGCAGTATATTCTTAATTGTTTAATGTCTGCAATTATTTTGGAGGGGGGAGAAAAACTCAAATTTAACAGCAGGATTTATTGTTTATGAATAAATATGAAGGCAGCTGTAAACAAAACTCCAAATTCAACATTCTGAAGAAATTTTCCATTATATTTTCTAATTTTTCCTTTTCTAGAGTTGCCAATCTTGCGGGCCATGGTGGCACATGCCCATAATCCTAGTATTTGGGAAGCAGAGGCAGACAAACCTCTCTAAGTTTGAGGCCAGCCTGGTCTAATAAGAACTTCCAGGCTAGCCTGGGCTACATAGTGGGACTCTGCCTAAATTTTTAAAAAGTTGCCAATTTTATTGTTATTGTTGTTGTTATACAGAGTTTCACTGTGTAGCTCTGGCTGTCCTGGAACTGGCTCTGTATCAGTTTGAAAACAGTCTTGTGTACAAGACTTCCAGTACTGAAAAAAGAAAGGAGAGTTGAAAGGGGAAGAGGAGAGAGAGGTGGAAGAGAGAGCCAGAGAGAAAGGACCATAATTGCTGAGAAGACAACTATGACATCTTTAGTGTAAAACACTATTCAGCAACATACTTGATGCTAAAATGGGTATAAGCAAAACAATGCATTCATTTTGTCTACCTTTCTAACCAGTAAAGACAGATGTACCAGGTATTTGTATATCTGATCCTGAAGGAAGACCTGTCTTGTTCATTTGTATATCCTCTGAGCCTAGACAAATTTGAAAGGGGAGGGTTCAGGAAGAAACCCTTTTCCGAAACAGGTCAGAAGATCTGTAACCATTCTTGCAAAAAAAAAAAAAAAAAAAAAAAATTTGCAGGCAACTCCGGCCTCTTTGCAGACATCAAGGCTTCATAGTAAGTCAATTCTAATTAGAAAAAGTCACTTTTTCTGGAGCAGGCGCTTCCCACTTCGTGCAAAGAGGAGCCAAGTGAACAGAACCGCAAAGACTTGGCTTACTTCAAACGCAAACTAATTTATTATTATTGGCCCAAATTTACCCCTCTCTCCTGGGGTGTAGGCCAATATCCACAACCGCACTGCACTGAAGCCTCGGCAAGGCCTACCAGTAGCCAGTGGGGAGCACAGCTATTCTCAGCCAAAATCCAGGGAGCGCTGCCCCCGTGCAGCGCAGTCTTCCAAAAGCCTCCAACAGATCTCCGCCTTTAAAACCTGCACTGCCTAAGAAATGCTTCCAATTTCCGATATTAAAAGCTGAAGAAACAGCTCTCTAGAGACCCAAAGAGAATGGCTCCCTTCCAGTACTACTGCCATTTTCGGGGCTCACCAGGCACAAGCCCAAAGTTGGACCACACTCGCTCTAGCCTTGGCGACTGTCTTTAAAGAAAGCGCGCACAGCAGGGATGCTGGGGAGTTCAATTTCCGGCCCCCACACAGAAGCTATTTTCCTACTGGCGTTGCAGATGCCCGAGCCGCGCCTTTGGCTACGCCCCCAACCACGCCCCTACCCTCGTTTTGCTTTCCCAGGCTTGAACGCGCTGGCGGGGGGCGTGGCCTGGGGGAGAGGCTCTCTCTGTGTGGGTCCCGGTTCCTCACCGAGCGCGATCACGCAGAGGCACGCTCCGACCGGGCGGGCGCGAGCTCGCGCACGCGCGCTCCCGCTGCCCTCTCCGGTGACGTGCCTGGCCGAGGCCGCGCTAGGGCGCTGGAGCTGCCACTGAGCGGCTGTCATGGCGTCGGAGGCGCTGGCAGAGGAGAGCCGGCCGCGGTGTCTATAGGACCAGGGGCGGGCGGCCGGGGATGGAGAGCGGCCCTGACAGCCCGCAGCCTCTGGAACTCGGGGTGGCGGCGGGACGGGAGTCGCCGCCGGAAGGGCGACGGCACGTCGGTCGCGAGGCTGAGGATGGTCTCGCAGGACGCGCGGTGGAGAGCGGCGGTCAGGGGGCGGCGGCCGCGCGGAGCAGCCCCGGGGATCCGACGTCCCTCTCAAAGCTCGGCAGCGGCGCGGGCTCGGACTTGAAGGACAGCGCGTCGCCGATCCCCGCTGTCTCGGAGGCGCCTCCGAGAGGGCAGCACAAGGTGACCGCCTCTCCGGAGCTGGCCGAGGCCGCGGCGGGCCGAGGGTCGGGGCCAGTGGGAGATGCGGGCACCTGCGGGGTGGAGCAGGCGGCCGAGGAGCCCAGCAGCGCCGGCGCCCTGAGCAGCAGCTGCAGCGAGCCGAGCCCCCCTGGGGACTCGCCCAGCTTGGACTCCCTGGAGTCTTTCTCCAACCTGCATTCTTTCCCCAGTAGCTCTGAGTTCAATAGTGAGGAGGGAGCAGAGACCAGGGTCCCCGAAGACGTGGAGGAGGGCGCGGCGGGGCCGCCCAGGGCTGCACCTCTGTGCAAAGAAGAGGAGGAGGACCCGGCTCAGGTGCTAGCGGCCTCCAAAGAACGCTTTCCGGGACAGTCAGTGTATCACATCAAATGGATCCAATGGAAAGAGGAGAACACGCCCATCATCACCCAGAATGAGAATGGTCCCTGCCCTTTGCTGGCCATCCTCAATGTTTTGCTTCTGGCCTGGAAGGTACAATCTGCAGCTTTCTACTTCCTACAGCTTGTGGGGAGGGGCAGAATGGGGTGAGGAAACTTGTTTGTCAGCTGAAGGCTTCCTTGTTTCTTCATTCATCAGACTCCTCCTTTTATGAGACACGGTTTATCTGTGTAGCTTAGGCAGTCTTCGAACTCATGATCTTCGTGCTTCAGCCTCCAGGGTGCTAGGATTACAGGCATGCACCATTAGATCTAACAGCCCCTTACATGAAATTAATTCCAGGATTTCTTTATTGAACAATTATTCACGTATGTATATGTCAGGAAGAATTGCCCCTAACTTCAGGTCCCTTTGGTATTAAAAGTTCAACACTCAGTTAAAGGTTGTAACTGATGGTGTACTTTTAAACAGGTAGAATCGAAAGCACCCTACACCCACACCTGCCGAATATTTTTAGCTATATTCGTCTATATATTACTCTTTCTTACTGACATTATCACATATGCAAAACAGTTGAAACTGGAAAAAGTGATCTTCAGAGTTACTATCAATGTGACACCATGAAGTGAGTATTAAGGATTATATATACACTTTTCTAGACAATGCTGCCTATCCCGCTTGGGTGTGGATAAGTGAAGGAATGGAGATAGGGGAGATACAGCCCTTTTAGATAAATTCCATTTAAGGAAAAGCATTGGTCTGAGCCTACTTACCATAAGTTACTTGTTTTCAAAGACTGTATTTTAATCTTGTGTATGATTTTTTACTTGTCTTGTTTCTTTGGCTCTAGTTCAAAGGTTTGGAATTTCAACAGTAACTATACATTAGAATGTGTAAAGGAAGCTAAAACTATTAACTAAAATAAGAAATGACAAACTAAGATACTGGAGCACAAAAGGGGAATGGCCAGTTTATTGAGGCCTCAGAATAAAGTGTCATATTTAAGCTTGCAGTTTCTGGGTGCTGAGAGGTGCATCTCAGCACCTGTTTTCAAACTGATAATTCCATCTGCAGTTAAAATGTTCCCTAAAGGAATAATAGCTTGAACTTTTCAATCAGTTATGAAGAACTGATAGTGAGAGAGAAATCCCAAACACCAGTTTCATATTGGGTATCTGGGCCTCTTGATGGAATTATCTGGATTCCAATCATCTGAATTACTCTGTGAGTGGGTATGCATGCAAATGAATTTGAAGATTGTTTTGATTAACCTCTGCTCATAGCATTCTAGGGCTTTTCTGTCCCAGAGTTTCAAACTTCCACATTCTTTCTACAGACCAGTTCAAGAGGTCTAAGAGCTACATGGTCAGGTTTATCATACCTAAGGCTTCATTCCAGAGTACCAGTTTTCTGGCATAGCTCCCTTTCTCATTGCTGTAACAAAATACCTGACAAAAGCAACATAAGGTAGGGTTTGTTTTTGGTTTTTCTCACAGTTTGAAGGTACAGTCCATTAAGTTGGGGAGCACATGGCAGCTCTAGCCTGAAGTAACTAGTCACATTGCATTCATAGTCAGAAAGCAGAGAAAGATGACTGCTCAATTGGATTTCTCCTTTTTATTTAGTCCAAACACATAGCCTGTGGACTGCCACCCACATTCAGAGTGGGAGGGGCAGCTACCATGGCCTGGATTACTTTGTGGATATATGAGCTTTGAATTGATTCTGGAAGACAGATTCAAACATGTAATCACGTTTGGGTTTGGTTTTGTGGAAGACACTACAAATGCAAAAACAGTACAAAGAACATCAGCCTTCCAGTAGCTCAGGACATGGTAAGGAGGTGGACATAAAGAGTAATTGCAGCGCTAATGTGCTTAGGAAGTACAAGAAAAGAAAGGGGGGGGGAAAGGAGGTGGTGGGTAACTGGGAATAGGCTCTCAGGAGAAGGCTTCAGAGATGAGATGTACTGATCAAATCACAAGATTGAATGAGATAAGGCCTCTGGACAAAAGGGTACATTTGAAGAAAAATCACATAGTGTGTTTTGCTCACCTTCGAGTTTGGTTGAAATGCAGGGGACATGGGGAAAGACATAAATGAATATGCATGCTAATGAATTTGAAGATTGTTCTGTAGGTTTTGTTTTTGTTTTTTGCCTGTAGGCTATTTATGCCAACAAAAATCAGTCATCATTAATGATTGATAGGGAGATGGGTGAGAGAAACAATGCCAAGTAGTATTCTCAAGGTGAGCCAGGGTTTCTAGAGGTCAAAACTGTTTTCCTAATAATACAAAAATGTTATTTGCCTTTTGGACGTCAGCAGGGATTTCCAGATTTTTGTTGGATGGATGATTGAGGTTAAAAAGGAGAACAAAAGGGCACCTACTATACACAACACAGAGACAAAGTATTTGTCCAGTTACAATGTCTAAGAACTTGGGGGGGGGGGGTGCGCATGCTCATGTGCACTCTTACCTATGTGTGTTAAGTGTGGAGGTTGGGTGTATTTCTATATCACTCTCAATATTTCTTGTTGTTTTGGTTCATTTGGAGACAGGGTCTCTCAGTTGAATTTGTTCTTTCACTTAGACTGGGTTTGCCTGCCTACTTCACCACTCTTCAGTGCTAAGGAACAGAACTATGACACTGCCACTCAGTTTTTCCATTGGTGCCAGGAATCTAAACTCAGGTGCACTTTTTTTTCCGTGAGCCAATTGTCCCAGCCTCAAGTTTTTTTGTTTTGTTTTTCAAGTTTCTTTTCATAGTTAGCATTTTATTGTATAAAATAATGGGTTTTGCTATGACATTTCATGCATATACTAATTATATAGAAAATATTGGATTTCATTATAATATTTGTTTTTTGTTTTCAAGACAAAATCTAATATATCACAGCTTGGGCTCCAACTTGCTGTGTAGCCTGAGGATGAATTTTGAACTTCTGGTTCTCCTGCCTCAACTTCCAAAGTACTGGAATTACAAGCATGTGCCACCACTCCCAGTTTATATGGTTCTGGGGTTAACCAGGGCTTCATATATGCTAGGCAGACACCTGTCAACTGAGTTACATCTCTAGCTCTCATTATAGCATTTTCAAACATGTTTGTGGTGTGCTTTGATCATCTTCATCTGACTTCTTCTTTAGTGTGTATGGGTGTTTTTGCCTGCGTGCATATCTGTGCACTACATGCATGTCTGGTGCCCAGGAATCCAGAAAGGGGCACCAGTTCTCCTGGAACTGGGGTTTCTGACAGTTGTGAGACACCTTATGAGTGCTTGGTATTGAATCTCGGTCCTCTAGAAGAGCAGCCAGTGCTCTTAACTACTGAGCCTTCTCTTTCTAAACCTGAGGATTAGTTTCTTATTTTATAAAGAGCACTTATAAATGAGCAAGAAAAAAGCTGAACAATATGATGACAAAAGGAGAAAAAAAAAATCTTCACTGGGTAGTGATAACACACCTTAATCCCAGCCCTTGGGAGGCAGAGGCAGGTGGATCTCTGAGTTCGAGACCAGCCTGGTCTACAGTGTGAGTTCAAGGACAGCCAGAGCTACACAGAGAAACCCTGTCTTCAAAGAAGTAAGTAAATAAGGAGACAGAGAGAGACACACAGAGAGACAGAAAGAGAGAGAGATTTAAAGTTCAAATTGACATGTCCTGCTTTATCTCCTTGAAGTGAAACTCCATGTCTATGAGCATCTTTCCAGCAGTGACTACTTGCTGTTGCTACTTTCCAATGACATCTCCTCTCCTATGTGTTTTTCTCCTCCACAAATCCTTCATGTTAATTTCTGACTTATTCTGCCCTATCCTACCCCAAACCTGTAGAAGAATTGTAGCCACACTAATTTTTTCACGCTGTCTTTTCCTAAAGTAAGCACAAAACTCTTTTGAGGTTTTCCAAAACCTTATAAAAAAGGAAAAACAGATGGTGAGCCAAAGGTTTTATCTTAGCCTCTGCCTACTCTGTTTTAAATATAGATCTTGTAAGGGGAAATTAAAAACTTTACACAGTGGTGGAACCTTATCTAAATAGAAGATTTGAGGAACAGTTCTGAGGCTTCCTTTCCCACTTTCTCCCAAGAATTAGAAGTAGTATGTGTCTCTGGACTTGTGAGTAAAATAGCAGAGAACAGCATGGGTGGATGCCTGGGTTTTGATAGTATTCCTTCAGTGAAAAAGCCTTCCTTTTCCTTTTCCAATCATGCCTATGGAGGTCCAGGTAAAAGATATTTGATTTTTGAAAACATGTGGTACCAACAAACTAGGCCTTCGAATATAGTAATTTTGTTTCTACTTTGTTTTGGAATAGGGTGTTGCTATTTAGTCTCTGCATTTGAACTCTCAGTTCTCTGGGGAGTGCTACAATTACAAGTGTGCAGCAACATACCTGGCTTAAAGTCAACTTTGATGCTGTTCCCATTATTCTCCATTAAAAAAAAATACTTCTATGTATCTTTTTGGGGGGAGGGGTTGTTTTTCATGCATGTATGCATGTGTACCACATGTATGTCTAGTGCTGGGCCAGAAGAGGGCATCATAGTCCTTGGGACTGGAATTACATATGGTTGTAAACATAGATGTGAATGCTGCCAATGGAACGCCAGTAAGTGCTCTTAACCTTTGAACCACCTCTTCATCCACTTATTCTCTACTTTTATTTTTTAAGTTACTTTCATTTTATATGTGTGACTGTTTGGTTTATATGTATGTATGTGTACCATGGATGTGCCTGTGCCTTTGAAAGGCCAGAAGAGACCAGAAGGCATCAAATCCACTAGGACTACAGTTAGGCTGTTGTAAACTGCCATGTAGGTGCTGGAAATAGAACTTGGGTACTCTGAAGAAACAGCCAGTGATCTGGAGCCACTGAACTATCTTTCCAGTGCCTTATTCTCCACTTTTAATTGATTGAGTTGCTTTTTCTTTGTTTTGGTCTCAAATTTACTATGTACCTAAAATTGGTTCTGATCCTTCTCTGCCCTCCTCCTGGGAGTGGAATTACCGTTCTGGAGCACTGTGCACTGCTTGCTTTGGATGCTTTGTTTTTATTGTGTTAGGGATCTGATGACATTTTAAAAAATGAAAAAAATCTTATCTTACTGTAAGTTTGGAGCCTGTCTGAAAGACAAGATCAAACAAAACAAACAAACAAACGAAAAAGTGTGGGGCAACTACTCATTCTATTCTGGAGCCAAAAATGGCCTGGGAACACAAATTTAGGTTACCCAAAATCCCATGTTCTGATGTGGTAACAGTTTCATGAAATTATTAAAGTAATACAACAAATAATATTTCAAATACATTGGTGCAAACATCAGATAGGTGAGATATAGCAAAGTGAGGGGGTGAAGGAGGCTTGAAGAACTTCAGCTATGGGACTCAGATGCTATCTACTGGCTTTCTTAGGTTTTAGTTTAGTGGAAGCCAGCCAGTGGTCTGCCACATTAATTCCAACGATGTTAGGTCAGACAGAGGTGAGTGTCTGACCTAACAATTGTTGGCCAGTGGTGGCACAGCTTTAACCCTAGCACTTGGGAGGCAGAGGCAGGTGGATCTCTGTGAGTTGGAGGCCAGCCTGATCTACAGAGTGAGTTCTAGGACAGGCTCCAAAGCTACACAGAGAAGCCCTATCTTGAAAAACAAAAACAAAACAAACAAACAAAAGAAAAGTTTAACAATTACTTATGATAACTGATCTATCTTTCTTCTTCTTCTCCTTCTCCTTCTTCTTTATAATGCTGTTGTTTGTTTTTTGAGACAAGGTCAAGGGGCTCTTGCCAATCTGGAACTCACTGTGAATCAATGTGCCTCAAATGCCCAGTGTTGGAATCATCTATATAAGCTGCTCCTTATTTCTTAGTAATGTTGAGTTCTCCACATTTACTACTTCTCCATTCCCTTAAAATCTTAGCCTATCACTTTTAGGACATTTCTGTTTAAATTTTCAGTAGTATTTTAAACACCAGATTTTACTGTTTTCATTTTTGACATCTCTTGAGGCTACTTCTGATGTCAGTATACAGGTGATCATTTCTATTTTATATGCTTAGAACAGGGCATGATATGCAGTCTCCTCTTGGGAAGTCAAGACTATGTTCTGAAATTATATAGACTCCTAGGATTATAGAATGTATATGCTGAATTCATGTGTTCTTCAGGGTCTCCATCTTGTTCTTACCCTCTGCTCTTGGTGGCTGACATAGGACCTTGTGTATGGTGTATGTATGGTGAATGCAGCTCTACCACTGAGCTACAGCCCCAGCCTCTCTGGCTTCTTAATTTTACGGCATTGCAGAAATGAAAAAAAAAGGGGGGGGATTTCTTTTATCTTCTTTTTACATTTGGGAGGGTTCACTACAGTCCGTGTGTAGAGGTCAGAGGACAACCTACTTCTCCCCTCCATTATGTGGGTTCAGAGGTTGGAACTCAAATTGTCAGGTCATTGGGCTTGGTGGGAAGTTCCTTTACCTGCTGGACCATCATGTAGGCCCCTTAAGATAAATTACTTGTTCATGAAATCTTCTGGTGAATTTGTCACATTGAAACTGTCTTCAATAAGAGAATACATAATTCTTTTAAGTTGGCAAGAAGATTCAACAGGTAAAGGTGGCTTACTACCAAGCCTGACAATCTGAGTTTGACTCTGGCAAGTTGTCTTATGACCTCCACAAGTCTACCCAGATACATGTGTGCCCATATAGGTACAATCACTAAATAAATAAATATGAAAAAATGTAGAAACAAGAAAAATGAAAGGGATGGTGGCATACACCTTTAATCTCAGCATGCAGGAAGCAGAGGCAGGCGGATCTCTGTGAGTTTGAGGCCAGCCTGGTCTATATAGTGGGTTCTAGGCTAGCTAAGGCTATATAATGAGGCCTATCTTAATAATAACAACAATAATAAAAAAACAGTCTATGTATAAATGGCCCTTTCAGATTGCTAGATATATTCAGATATCAGCACTTCAAAAATGATACTGAAACACCTTGAAAAATACTGTATAATGATAGCTAAAATAGTCTAAAGCAAAAATTAGTACATTATCATGTAAAGAATTACTTCATGGGGCTATAGAGATAGCTAAGGGGTTCATAGCACTGGCTGTGGCCTGGAGAGATGGCTCAGAGGTTAGGATCACTGGCTGTTTTTCCCAAGGTCCCAAATTCAGTTCCTAGAAACCACGTGGCAGCATATGCACATGCAGACAGAGCACTGTGTACATAATAAATAAATAAATCTTAAAAAAAAAAAAAAGCACCAGCTGGTCTCCCAGAAGACCTGGTCCAATTCCTAGCACCTATGTGGCAGCTCACAACCACTATCTCCAGTAGGTCTGATGCTCTCTCCTGGCCTCCTCTGGTTTCTATGGGTACCAGGCATACAAATGGTACATAGACATACATGCAGGCAAAACACCCCCATACATATAAAATAAAATAATAAAAAATATTAAAACTAGTTAGTAATCATGTTAGGCTTTGTGTTTCATCAGTCTCTGTCAGAGAAATTAAACTTTCCTACTGTAGTACAAAAAAAAATGTGGAATATATTGAAATGTAGCCAAAGAATATATAAACAATGAGTAAAATACTCACCTTTTCCTTAGAATAACAGACAGCAAACCATAATTTGCAAGTGAACTTCAGTTTTAAAATTATATGTAGGAAGTGGGCTGCAGAGCTGGTTCAGCAGTTCAAAACACTCGCAGAGAACTCTTGCAAAGAACCTGTTTGATTTTCCACACCCAAATTAGGGCTCACAACTGCATATAACCCCAGATTCATGGGATCTAGTACCCATTTCTGACCCCTGGGTATGTGTACACACATGGCATATATATATATATATATATATATATGTGTGTGTGTGTGTGTGTGTGTGTGTGTGTGTGTGTGTGTGTAAAAAGTACATATTTTTTTAAAAAAACATATTGTTTAGGAGAATGGTTTATAAAGTACACTGAAATGGGGCATTGGACTAGACAGAAACTAGAATGCTGCCTGCAGCCAAAATTATTCTTTAGAATACATTGTTACAGAGACAAAAATCATTTAGAATAATAGGATGAGCAAGCCTCTGTGGCGTATCTTGTTTTTCAGTAAGTGATAAATCCAGAAGACAACTGGGCCCTAAGCATCGGCTGTCATATGTGCTTTCAGAGAGGCTAACACTGCTATGTCTTGCAACATTTTGGAAACTTGTTTTATCATTGATTAAAAATCTTTTAATATATCAGCCGGGCGGTGGTGGCACATGCCTTTAATGCCAGTACTTGGGAAGCAGAGGCAGGAGGATCTCTATGAGTTTGAGATCTATAAGAGCTAGTTCCAAGACAGTCTCCAAAGCCACAGAGAAACCCTGTCTTGAAAAACCAAAACCAAACAACCAACCAAACAAACAAAAAACAAAACAAACTCTTTTAATATGTCATTAACACATTTGATAGCATAAACTTAGAATACCTTCTTTAACAATTAGGGAGCTATTGAAGAAATTGATGATTTAAACAGTTTCCTTGGTTGAACAGAAAATAATGACTAATAATATATTTTCAGTTATGTTCTTCTATCATTGATATGGTAGTTATTTAGAATTTCCATCTTGAATATTTTTAAGACTTTCAAAACATTGTGTGTGTGTGTGTGTTTGCCTGTATGTATGTATATATGTATGTGCCCGGTGCCTTCAGAATCCAAAAGGAGGTATCTAATCTTCTAGAATCGGAGTTACAAGCAACTGTGAGCCACCATGTATGTGCTAGTGCTCTTAACTGCTGAGGCATCACTCCAGTCTCCTGAATATTTATTTTTCTTCTATTCTGTGAATGAAACAGTGTGATTGTAGATGTCAGAAAAAAAATATTTAGTAATTGTCCATGGTATATGTAACTCATCTGACAACCATTTGAAAATTTATTTTAGATCAGTGAGGTAGGTCAGTGGCTAAAAGCACTTGCTATACAATCTTAGCAACCTTAGTTTACAGCACCTCACAAGCTCTTACAGTCTCTCTACTATAAATCTTTCATAATCTCCAGGAGTAGCCATAATCTTGATTTTTGTTATTAGGCTTTGTTTTCTCATTTTCTGAAACAAGGTCTTGTGTCTTATATATGTATCATAGGCTGGCCTCACATTGATAACCAAAGGTGGCCTTGAACTCTCTTGATCCAACTGCCCCTGTCTCCCAAGTGCTAGGATTACAGGTGTATACTACTATGCCTGGCTATTTATTTATTTTGACAAGGTCTCTTTACATAGGCCAAGCTGTCAGCCTTCTCAGTGTTGGGATTACAGGTTTACTGTTTCTCATAGCAATTATATTAAATGGTAAAAACACATGGCTTTTCAGACCTCTCAATATCTTTATATGATTATCATTATAATTGTTACAATGACAAGACTTTGTTATACTTCATTTTAAAAACTATTATTTGTGTATGTGTGTATGAGATGTGAGTAAGGATTCATGTGTGTTTTGGTGTGCATATGTATCACAGTGTGTGTATGTATCACGGTGTGTATGTAAAGTCGGAGAACAACTATAAGAGTCATCCTGAGTTCCTGGAATCAAGCTCACTTATCAAGCACTTTTTGCCTGCTGAACTATTTTTTTCATCCATATTTGTATTTTTTGAGAAAGTCACTCTCTATAGCTTAAGCTGACTTAAAACTCATGGCCATCCTTCTACTGAGTACTGGAAGTACAGGCATGAGCCACATGCCTGGATGACTTTGTTATATAAGCATGAATATCAATGTATTTATGTAGAAGGTGTTTGTGTGTGTGCATGCACATGTATGCTTGTTTTTTGACTACAGGAAACAATTCAGTCATCAAAAACATTTCTTATAGAAATAATACTTTGTTTTTTCAGGTGAAACTTCCACCAATGATGGAAATCATAACTGCGGAACAGCTGATGGAATATTTAGGTCAGTGCCAAAGACTTGGTGATTTTGTATCTTTTACAAAATTAAATGAAGTTTTCAAAGCTGTTGTTTTACTGGTACTATTATATAATCTATTTTTAAAATTATAGTTCTGAATATGCTAATTAAAAATTTTACCAGTATGTTCCTATTCTTGACTGTTACAACATTCTTCCAACCATGATTAGAATCCTGAACTATAAATAAGAAGACTGGGCAAAATCCAGAGAATATCACACTAATTAATTAATCCCTGTAAATTGCAGAGTGAAAAAAGATACAAAAACTTTAGCATTAGAAAAATACTTTTTTAGCCAGGTGGTGGTGGCACAAGCCTTTAATCCCAGCACTCAGGAGGCAGAGACAGGCAGATCTCTGTGAGTTTGATGTCAGCCTGGTCTACAGAGCTAGCTCCAGGACAGCTAGGCCAGTTACACAGAAATCCTGTCTTGAAAAACAAAAACAAAAAAAGAAAAAAAGAAAAGGAAGGAAAGAAAGGAAGGAAGGAAGACCTTTTTAGAATTGTGTCAACTTGCATTAAAGTTGAAGGAGTTGGGCTGAATATGTAGCTCAGTGGTGGGGCATTTGGCTAGGATGAGTGAGATCCTTGATTTAATCAATAGAGTTGACAAACAAGTATAACAACACACACACACACACAAACACACACACACACACACACACACACACACACACACACACACACACCAAAACAAACAAGCAAAGAAAAAACTGAGGAGATGATATGAGATACTGCTACCCAAAGTGTAATTTGTGGGTCTGTGTCAATTTATAGTCTATTTCATCTGAAATGTTTTTTTGTTGAAGGAAGCAATGCATTGAATTGCATTCTCTCCCAGTCAGAACAGACTAGTAGGGTCTGTAGAGATGGCTCAGCAGTTATGAGCACTGGCTGTTCTTGCAGAGGACTTGTATTCAGTTTTCAGTACCCATAGTGTAGGGCAACTCCAGTTTTAGAGGAATTACCTCATCTTCCATAGGCACCAGGCATGTACATTGTACACATACATACATGTAGACAAACACTCATATACATATAATAAAAATAAATCTTTTTTAAAAGACAGGCTGGCTATATCAAATTGAGCTTGTCTAGAGAGAAGATGATAATTCATTGTACTATATACCTTTTGCAATTTGACAAACAACTTATATATATTATTACCAAATATCTTTATCCATATCTTTCTAGTATTTTTAGTGATTAAATTTTTATTTAAAAAAGATCTTTAGTCAAGGGATGTGAAGATGGATTGGTTGGTAGTAAACTGTTTACTGCACATGCATGAGGACCTGACTTTGGATTCCCTCAGTACTCATGTAAAGGCTGAGTGCAGCAGCATGTGCCTGTACTACATGAAAGGTAGAAGCAAGAGAATCTTTGATGTTTCCTGGTCAACCAATTGGTGAGCTGTCAGATTCAGTGAGAGATCTTAATATAAGAGATCAAAAAGTAAGGTGAAGGCCTGGAGAGATGGCATAGTGGTTAAAGGCACAGTTGCACTTGTAGCAAGTGCCTCATAACTGTCTGTAACTCCAGCTCAGGAGATCCAACACCTCTGGCCTCTGCAGGCACCTGCACTCACATGTACATGCACCCACATAGACACACACACATATATACATAATCAAAAATAAATCTTAACCAGATGTGGTGGCACACATCTTTAATTCCAGCACTCAGGAGGCAGAGGCAGGCAGATCTCTGAGTTCGAGGCCAGCCTAGTCTACATAGTAAGTTCCAGGACAGCCAAGACTACACAGAGAGACCCATCTCATAAAACAAGCAAGCAAACAAATAAATAAATTTTAAAAAATAAGGTAAAGTGATTGAGGAAGATACCACATGTCAAAGTCTGGCCTCCACATGTGAGCATTCACATGCATGTATACCCACATACACAGCATACACAAAATACTGCCAGCTACATTTAATGGTATTATGGTATATATCGGTAATCCCAGAACTTGGTAGGCTGAGGCAGAAGTAATCATGTGAGTTTGAGGTCAGTATAGGCTACAGAATAAGACTCAAAAGATAAATAGATAGCTGATAGTTTGTTTCAAGTGTTCCAGGCAACCAGCTGTCTGTGTGTGTGTGTGTGTGTGTGTGTGTGTGTGTGTGTAGGTGCAGCTTAAGTAATTGGAATTGGGACTTTTATAAAGCCTGTGGGGGAGGAAGGAGTGTATACATACATGCATACATACATACATATTCCATGTCCATTAATCCATATTTACAGGCTAGGGACCTCATAGTGGTAGATAAACTACTCTAAATACTTAGATATATGCAGATAAAGGCTAGATTAATGAACTTTAAACAGTGAAGATAATGCCATGGAGAGTACAAAAGGGTCAGGGAGATAAGTAGGAGATGGGCTCAAAATAATTGGATTCTGATCAGGTGGGTCCAGTTGGCTGATGTAGACTGACTTTTTGCTGGGAATGAGTTTTGACTTCAATGAGGACACTGGACACAGGATTGGCATGATCTGACTTTCACGAAAATGCTATAGCTGTTATAACACAGATAGCATATTGTCATAGTTGAATGTTTTTCTTTAAAAATCACAATTCCAGGGACTAGAAAGATGGCTCAGTGGTTTGATTCCCAGAACTAATGTCAGTTAGCTTCAGCTCCAGGGGATCCAACACCCCTCTCCTGGTTTTCGTGAGTACCCAAAAACATGGCAAATGCCCACACTAATACATACATATGCATATAAATAAAAATGAATCTTTTTGAAAAATCTAATATAATTTGGGAATCTTGATGCACACCTCCAATCCCAGCACTCTGGAGCAGAAGCAGGCAAACCTCTGAGTTTGAGGCCAGTATGATCTACAGAATGAATTTTATAACAGCCAGGGCTGCACAGAGAAACCCTATCTTGGAAAAAAAAGAAAAAGCCTTGAAGGAAGAAATGATATCTTGAGATGTTCATACCTAACTGAAAAGCAGTCTATCAGAGCAAGGGCAAGTCTTCACAGCTGTATGGGTTCAGCAGCCAACCCTGGATGATGGGAGGAAGCATTATTATAAGACTGGGACAAAACATACAGTATCACAATGCTATGCAAAAATGCTTCAAATCCAGAACCTGCACAACAGGACACAAAATGTGGCCTTTTAACACAGGAACTTGGGCAAGACAGGGGATCCATGCAATCTCACCTATTCTGATGTAAGCCTCATGTGCTTGGCTGTTTTACCACTAGTTATTCCAAGATAAAGATGGAAATATTTTCTATCTAAACAACCCACTACAGGTTTAACTCATGTTATACCCAGTGAGACCTAGAACCAGTCTTCCATTGGCTCTCTCCAGTTCTTTCTTCCACCTCATGGGTTCTTAGACTTGTTTTCTCTGTCATGTCTCAAAGGTCTTAGGTGCTTTGGCCATGTTCCTAAACTCATGGACTCAGTGATCCTTTTGCCTTGGCCACCCACATTCTGGCAAGAGAGGCATCAGCACAGTACCAGCATGACAGTGTTTGAGATTACTTTTACTATTTTTTATCAGCAAATGTATTTACTGAGCAAGATACCCCATGGAGGTGTTTGGAAGTAACAATGGTCATCAGTGTAGCTACACAAGTGACTTCCACTGCATAAATATTAAAAGAGTATTTCACTTGGAAAAAAGTAAATAATTAACACATTTTGGTATGTTGACTTGTTTCTTAGCTAATAAAGCCATCGAGAAATAGGACATATCACAGAGAATTTTGATAGGGAGAAAGAAAAAACATGATGAAGAAGTACCTAGTGCTGGCAAGATTGCTTAGCAGGTAATATGCTCTTGATGAATAAGCCCAATGACCTGAATTGAATCTCCCAGAACCCACAGTGGAAGAAGAGAATCAACTTCTGAAAGTTGTCCTCTGGCTTCCTCTTGTGTCCCATGGCATGTGCACACACACACACACACACACACACACACTATTGTGAGATAAAAGAAAAATCTACAACCAAGGTAGCTAGAGGTTTTGGGGTCATGGGCTTTAGCTGCTAGGAATGGCATAAAGTAATCCAGAAGAGAGGGAGAAGGAATGGGATCAAAATGAACAGAGTCTATGTAAAATCATCTACTTAGGATCAGTCCAGTCAGAACAAGTGGCATAAGATCCTAAGCTAGTTGGATTGTCTCCTCTTGAGATTACTCTAGTTCTCTGAAGGAGCTAGAGATATTGTATATTAAATAGCATATTGGGGGCGGTGCATGCACACTTTTGGGAAGGGGTACCATGGATCAAACAAGTCATCAGGCTTGTGGGCAAAGTGCTTTTACCTGCTGAGCCTTCTCAACAGCATGGAATATTAAAATACTTGAGTTAACGTGCAAGCAGTAGTGAAAAGATTATAAGAGAAACCATTAGTTGCTTTCCAAACATCTAGGTGAGATACCCCAAAGGATGGGAATTTTGTGTGTATTTGTGTGTGTGTACATGTATACATGTGTATGGCACACATAACTGTATGCCAGAAGACAAATTCAGGTGTCATTCCTCAGACACTGTCTTTTTTGTTTGTTTTTGAGACTGAATGCTTCACTGGCCTGAAGCTTGCCAAGTAGGCTAGGCTGGCCAGTAAACCCCAAGAATCCCCATCCCTGCCTCACTAGTGCTCAGATAACAAGCATGCACATTCAGCTTTTGAAATTTTTTGTGTTTTTCTTTACTTACTTGATTTTGAGGTAAGATTTTGCTACATAACCCAAGTTGCTCTCTAGCTCAAAATCCCCCTGCCTCAGCCTGCAAATGCTTGGATTACAGGTGTAATCCACACCCAATAAAAATGAGAATTTTGCTTGGCAAGGTTGAAGGAAAAGCAAATGAGTTTCATTTTAGAAATCTCTGCTTGTACGTAAGAAGGTGGCCAAAATGCAGCTGTAGCTTGTTCAAGTATTTGGCATAGAGAAAGTAACATAGCATGTAGATGCTTAGGCAGCGTTAAAAAGTCTAATAAAAAAGGAGAA